CCTCAAAGGTTGTTTATGTGGCATGAAGAGAAGGTGCCTTTTCCAACTCTTGGCTCGGCTCCTGCACTGCAGGACTCCCCCCATGGAGAGGCTTCTCGGCTCCCTTGGCGAGACAAAAGCTCCCAGCATGGGCAGCCAGCAACAGGCCAGAAGGAAACCGAAACTGGCTTATTGGAAGATGGGGGGGAGGGAGGGGGGAGCTTCCTCCCATGCCCAGGAGGGGCACCACCAAATTCTTCAGAGCAACTTACCTCTCAGACTGGCATCTGTGACCAAGCCCTTGCCCTGCCCTGGTTGCCAGCCCAGGGGTCACCAACCCCCCTGCCCCAGCCTTTGCGGCCAAGTGCTGAGCACTAACAAGGGAAGCCCTGGGGGCAAGCCCTCCCATTGTGGGGAAGGCCCCACCCTGAAGCCCCTCTGGGGAAATAAAAAAATCAGAATCAGAATAGAACTGGAAAGGATCTTGGAGGTCTTCAGTCCAGTCCCCTGCTCAAGCAGGAGACCCTATACCATTTCAGACTGTCCAGTCTCTTCTTAAAAGCCTCCAGTGATGAAGCACTCACAACTTCTGAAGGCAACTTCTGTTCCCCCGGTTAATTGTCCTCACTGTTAGGAAGTTTCTCCTTAATTCCAGGTTGCTTCTCTCCTTGATTACTTTCCAACCATTATTTCCTATCTTGCCTTCTGGTGCTTTGTGGCAGCCCCTCAAATACTGGAATACTGCTATCAGGTCCCCCCCTTAGTTGCTCTGCTTTGTATTTTTTCCAAAGTCTCAAAATCTTTTTGTAAGTGACCAAAATTTTGTGGTGACCAAAATTGGATGCACTAAGGTTTTATAAAGTGGCACTAATATTTCACGTGATTTTGATTCTATGCCTCTGTTTATAACCAAGGATCGTATTAGCTTTTTTGGCTGCTGCCGTACACTGCTGGCTCATATTTAAATGATCGTCCACTAGGATTCCAAGGTCCCTCTCACAATTATTGTTTTTGAGCCAGGTTTCACTTAATCTGTACTTGTACCTTTGGTTTTTCCTGCCCAGGTGTAAAATCTTGCTTTTCTCCACATTAAATTTAATTTTGTTGGATAGGGCCCATTGTTCAAGTCTGTCAAGATCTTTTTGAATCCTGAGATTGTCTTCTGGGGTGTTGGCTATTCCTGCCAGCTTAGGGTCATCTTCAAATTTGATGAGTTCCCCTTCAATTCCCTTCATCATTGATGAAGATGTTGAAGAGTCCTGGGCCTAAGACAGAGCCTTGTGGTGCCCCACTGCTTACTTCTCTCCATGTGGATGTAGAGCCATTGAGGACTACTCGTTGAGTACGGTTTGCCAGCCAGCTACAGATTTATCTGGTGGTGCTGCTGTCTAGCCCACATTTTTCTAGCTTACCTATGAGTAGCTTGTGGTGTCATGTGTCTGAGTAACGAAACACTTAAAAGGACTTCCAAACAATGTCGTAGTTGAGGGTTTTCGTGGAGGTGATTGCTGTCCGGGTAACTCTGGTTGCTGCTCGGGTTCGTGACATGTGGTCTACTTTGTCGAATGCCTTGTTGAAAATTAAGTATACTATGTCCAGGACATTTCGCTGGTCTACTAATTTAGTCACTTTCTCAAAGAATGAAATAAGATTGGTTTGGCATGATCTGTTTTTTTTTTTTATTTTTATTGAAAAGTTTTATAAAAGTTACAATATAAACCCCAAAACCCCCCCACCCTAAACCCCCCCTCTCCCTCCCCCACTTCCCAGAGCTGAATACAGGGTTACAAATATAATAATAATCTTACTAACATTAACCAACTATATAAATAACCAAGTCCATAATGCGCTTTAACTCCCCTTTAACATAAATATAATAATAAATATAATAATAATCTGAAAAAAGATGCTAATTTGGATGAATGGCAGAAGGGTATTAATAAATTTATTTGGGCGGGGAAAAAAACCAAGAGTTAAATTTAAGATCTTACAAGACGCACGGGAAAGAGGAGGACTTAAGGCGCCTAATTTGAAATTATACTATGATGTGGTGGTTTTAACATTGGTTAGTGATTGGCTTAATTTAACAAATAAAAGTATACTTTATCTGGAGGGATGGGACTTATTATATGGGTGGCATGCATACTTAATTTATAACAAAAAAGTTGACAAGGTTTTTAAATCTCATATTTTAAGAAGTGCCTTATTGCGTGTCTGGAAAAAGTATTATTATAAGTTAAATTATAAAATACCAATCTGGGGGATTCCTGGACACGTGATAGAGGGGGTATCTATGGGTGTGAATTTGGATAGGATTTCTTATAAGAAATTACTTAGAGTGGTAGGGAATGATTGGCAATTAAAATCGTTAGCTGAGTTAAAGCAAGAAAATATTGTATAGTTGGTTTCAGTATACTCAATTGTTGGTTAGGTGGAAGTTAGATCAAAAGGTTGGTATTACATTAATGGATGAGAATTTGGTAAAACAGATTAAAGATCAAAATCGAGCGCATATAAAGAGAATTTATAATGCTTTAATAGAGATGGATTCGGAAATGGAATTAGTTAAAGATTGTATGGTAAAGTGGGCTCAAAATATTCAAGAACCGATTCCACTGGATATATGGGAGGTAATTTGGGTTAGAAATGTAAAATTTACCCAGGCCCAAAATTTAAGAGAAAATTTTTCCAAAATGTTTTATAGATGGCATCTGGATCCTAAAAAGTTGTCTTGTATGTATCCTAATTTATAGCCCAAATGTTGGAGATGTGGTAGCTTGGATGCTACTTATTTTCATATCTGGTGGACTTGTACAAATATAAAAGCTTTTTGGATTAAGATTTGGTGGAACATTCAAAATATTTTTAAGAAAAAGCTAAAGTTTACTCCACAATTATTTTTGCTGGGTGTTATTATAGATTGTGATATTAAAGAAACTAATTTGATGTTGAATTTGATAACAGCTGCAAGGTAGGGCAATATTGGAAGAAGGATTGCTTGCCTACTATAGAAGAATGGACGCTTAAAGTGTCAAATTTAGCAGAAATGGCTAAGATTTCTGCCTATTTGAAGGATCACTCACAAGAAAGATACATTTCGGTTTGGAGAAGATGGATAGATTATATTCAGAACAAATATGGGACTAAAAAGTTCCATTTAGCCTATGAGTAAATTTTAGAGTATTATTAGTATTAATAGTTTATTATAGTGAATTTTTTGTTAGTTTTAATTATATGATATTATTATTACTTTTAGTATTAGTATTGTTTAACAATATGGATATTCTATTGTTTAATAATTAGGATACTAATTTATGTTTTAATTATTATTATTATATTTATGTTAAAGGGGACTTAAAGCGCATTATGGACTTGGTTATTTATATAGTTGGTTAATTTTAGTTAATGATTATTATATTTGTAACCCTGTATTTAGCTCTGGGAAGTGGGGGAGGGAGAGGGGGGGATTAGGGTGGGTGGGTTCAGGGGTTTATATTGTAATTTTTATTAAACTTTGCAATAAAAAATAATAATAATCATCTGTTTTTAACAAACAGATCATTTTTAACAAACAGAATGGGGTAGATAACTGAGGATGGGGAGCCTGAAATCTTATTTTTGCATTGCTATTGGGTTTTTATTTCGTGAGTGTATGTGCACCTCTTTGACTTCTGGCGCCTTCCCAGAGACATTCCTGCAGTTTTCCTGGCAAGGATTTTGCCATTATCTCCTCCTTAGAGCTGGAAGAGAATGACTGGCCCAAGGTCCCCCGGCTGGCTCTAAGGCAGGACTAGAACTCACGGTCTCCTGGTTTCTAGCCTGATGCCGTAACACTACCCCAAACCAGCTCTCATTGTGCTCGTTGGGTTTATAAACGTCCTCAATGGGGCTTTGCAAAAGCTGGGGACTGAAGAAATAAATAAAGAATTAATAACCAGCTAGTCACGCTGCAAACCTGTGGCTGGGCAGCCGTTTGGGGGGGGGAGGCCGTGCTGGTCCTCAGGGCTCAGGGGGGGGGCAGAAAGCAAAAAGAGGGGATTTCAGTCCTGCTCTCTCTCCATCTCCAGGTCCATCCTGCTTTGTGCGGTTGCCATGGGACCACCGGGCATCACCTCAAAGCTGGCCCTGGACGGACAGACAGGGCGGCCTGTGGCTGGTGGTGGAATCTGCAGCCGGGCTGTCTTGGCCACCGTCCTCACGAGCGCTCTAGCAGCCCTGGGTGTGGGCATCCTTGTGTGTGAGTTGCTGTGAAATGGGCTCGGGGGTCAACCTGGGGTCCCCAAAGGAGCTTAAACCTACAAAATGTATGCACCATTGCACTGACAGAGAAAGAGCCCTTTGGTGGTGGGACCAGGGACCCCCGTCCCCCTCGCCCAACAGAGCAGCCCCAGGCATCCCCTCCCATACCTCAGCTAAGCTCCTTTCTCCCTAGACGGGGGGGGGACTTGGGGGCAGAACTAGCGAAATGGAGAAGGTGTGCCCCCCTGGGCTCTGCCAGCTGAACATATTTAAGGAGAGGGACCTGGAGTGGGCCCACCCTACCCGATCTGGTGGGCCTGGCACCCTCCAGGAAAGGAGGCAGGGGGCAACCTCACCACTTGCCTTGGGGGAAATAGGGGTGGGGGCGGGGAACTTGCAGCATGCTCTTTGCAGAAATTGTAAAGATGCCCGGGGCGGGGGGGGGAGGGAGAGGGGGGAATTTATGTCCTCTGGGGATGGCTGCGATTTTGCAAAGGGAAGGAAAGGGCCAGAGAGCCTCTTGGGTAGACAAGGAGAGTCTGAATTCGATGCTCATCTTCTGCCAGGACCCTTCTGGGGCATCTGTGCCAAGAGGACACTGCCAGCCGGCCAGCCCATCCTTCCAGCCTTGGCTCTCCTGTGGGCGAGATCACAGACAGCCCCAAAGCTTGGCAGGGCCCTGGTGGCCAAGCAGCTGGCATGGCCGGCAGGGGGCAGGAGCTGGGCGGGCCAGGCGCCTGGCAGTGCTTGGAGGGGGGGGGTTGGCAACCACCAGAGCATCGATGCATCTCTCTCCCACCGCAGATTTCCTGGGGAAGGAAGAAACCCACTTTGAGCACCTGGCGGAGCTCCGAGGGATCCCCTACCGGAGCAGTTTGCAGCAGCCCAGTTCTGGCTACTCCCGCCTGCTGACCCCCATTCTGGAACAGCTGGTAAGGGCCCCCTGCCCCCTCCTCAAGAGGGTGAGCTGCGGATGAGCCACCAGGGAGGGCCACGGGAGGGATGCTGCTCTAGCGCTGAGGCGGGCCCGTCACGCAGCGGTCCCAGGGGGGATCTGCAGCTCTCCAGGACAGAGAAGCCTCTCCCCTCCCCCTCCCCCTCCCCGGCAGGATGGCCGTGCCCAAGGCTGCTCAGACCCGCCAAGGCTGGTGGCAGGGCTGTTCCCAGGTGAGGCAACCTGGCTGCCGGCTGTTCAACTCAGCTGAAGGGCAGAAAGGAAGGGAGGGGCTGGAGGAGAAGGGCTGAGGGGGATGCATCCTGCCAGCCAGCTTGGGGTGTGCAATGGCTCCTCTAAGCCCCAGGCTAGGCACCCCTTTGGCTACTTGCTTGAGTGAGCAAGGGGTCCAGATCTTTTCTTGGGGTGAGGCTGCTCTGAAACTGCCCCCCCCCGTTTGAAGGTGACTCTGATGGGCCCAGCAGGGAGGCCAGTGTGCTCTCTTACTCTCCTGTCTGACTGTTCAGTTCAAAAGCAGCTTTCAGAACTCGCCCCTGGACGGCAGCTGCTCCAGGTGTACCGTCTTGCAGTACAGGTGGGCAGGGGCAGGAGGGCTGGCCTGTGGGGAGGGGCTCCTCCGCTCGCCTGCCAGGAAGAGCGGGTAAGGACTTCCTGCTTCTGCTTGGCAGGGAGGTCAATGGCAGCCTCATCGTCCGCTTCCACCTCTGCTTCTCTGCACCACCACCCAGCCCTGGCATGGAAGAGGACATCCTGAGGCGGGGACTGGCAGCGGCCGTGGGCATCGAGGGCATCAGGGTGCCCGCCCAAGGCACCATCTCAGCTGCCTCCCTCTTGGGTATCCCTGCATTTCTTCTGGCCCTTTGGCCCAGGGCTGGCTGGGGTGGTGCATGCCCCTAATAAGCCTGGTTCCTCCTCTGCTGTTCACCTGCACCCCCCGTTCTGACCCCCCCCCCTTTCTAGCAGGGACACGGGACCTCACCTTCTCAGGCACGGAGCTCAAGTCAGGTAGGCTGGTCACCTGTGGAGCTGCCTCTGGTCCGGGACCCTGATTTTCGGGGGCCCAGCCCCATCCCTCCCTCTGATGGGCAGCGTTGAGGACTGGGTGCCCGTTTGGCCTTCAGCATGGCACAGGGGCTTTTGGGGGCAGGAGTGGGAGGGTGGGAAAGAGCAGCCAAACCACTACCCCAAAAGCCCAGGCTGCCAGAGGGCAGAGATTTCCCACCTCAATTACAGGAGGTGCTGAGCACCATGGCTGGACCCACTGAGGTCTGAATTCCACCCCCAAATGCATCCCCCCCCTCAGTGTCTGTGCTGAGGAGAAGAACTCAATTCTGCCCCTGTTGTGTCCACAGGAAGCTGTCCGGGGGAGGCCTTTGCCTGCCGCAACGGCCAGTGTGTGGCCTCAGGAAGTGTGCAGTGCGATGGGCAGAAAGACTGCCCGGATGGCTCTGACGAGGCCGAGTGTGGTGGGTCTCTCATCCTGGGGCTGTTGGGCTGGCTGCCTCCGCAAAGCTGGGGATTCTCCGTGCTGCCCCTGGTCTCCCCCGGAGGATGGGCGGAGGCCGTGGATGCCTCCCTACGGGGGGGGGGGCCTGAACCGCACAGAGTGCAGGATCCTTTGCAGAGATCTGCCCCAGAGGGGGTGGGGGGCAGCATCTCCAGAGGGGCTACCTTTCCAGGACAGGGAGCGTGAAGAGGGGAGCCTGGCCTTAGGAAACAGAAGGGGGCCGTTAGGAGGGAGGGAGGGGGGGAGGGGTGTGTTCTGCCGGTGCATGAGAGAAGGTGGGCAATGTGCCCTTGGAGCTAATCCTCGCTCAGAGAGTGACCAGTCAAGCCGGAGTAACCACAAGTAGGAGGACAATCAAAAGACAGCTAGTCCTCCCCTCTGACCAATTTCAAACCACAAACTTGGAATAAAACTGGCCGGGGTGGGTGGGGCAAATGTGTTTGGGGCTTTCCTAATTCGCGAGACACTCTGAACCCCCAAATCAAAGCCAAAGTCTCTGTCACACATTTCCTCCCTTTGTGGGCTTCCAGGGCTGAAAGTGTGTGTTTGTGTGTGTTGGGGGGAGGTGTCGCCCGGTCTCCCCTACTCACCACCAGCCCCTCATGCTCCTTTGCAGACTGTGGGACCCGGCCAGCCATGCGGTCCGCCACCCGGATCGTGGGGGGATCAGAGGCGCTACTGGGCGAGTTCCCATGGCAGGTCAGCCTGAGAGAGAGCAATGAACACTTCTGTGGGGCAGCCATCCTGACGGCCAGCTGGCTGCTCTCCGCTGCACACTGCTTCAACGAGTAAGCGCGGGAACCCTCTGCCACCGTCTGCAGAGGGTGGGTTGGCGTCAAGGCTGGGGGGGGGAGAGTTTGGCACGGAAGGAGCAGTCCAAGGATGAAAGGAGGCAGGCAGTGGGGAACCTCTGCCACACGTCCGTCCCTTCTTCGGGCTGGGGGAGCAGGTGGAAGCATGCAGTGGGTGTGGAGCGACGGCATGGGGAGGGGGAGGAAGAGAAGAAGGGGGAGGCGGGGGGAGAAGCAGAAGGAACCCCCAAGCTCAGATAGCTTCTCCAAAACAGCAAGAGGAAAAAGGGATGGAGGGCCGGGGTGACAAGTCAGATCAAAAATGTCAAAAGAGCAGACACAACAGAGTTTGAGGTCACAGGTGAAACGCAGCCTTCACCACAGACAGGCAGTCTCCATAAAGCATGGCTTGCCTTTCCCTGAGGCCTCCTGGAGGGGGGGGGAGCTAAGGGAGACTGAATCTGTCCCATCACAGGTTCCAGGATCCCCGCACCTGGATGGCGCAGGTGGGCAGCGTCTGGCTGAGTGATGGTGAGGGCAACCGGGCACAGGCCAAGGTGCTGCGCATCCTCCGGCACCCTTCCTACAACACGGAGAGCGCTGACTACGATGCAGCCCTGCTGGAGCTGGCAGAGCCCCTCGCCTTCAGCAAATACGTCCAGCCCGTGTGCCTGCCAGCCCCCTCCCACCGCTTCCCCCCTGGCAGGAAGTGCCTCATCTCCGGCTGGGGGTACCTGAAGGAAGACTTCTGTAAGCAGGGTCCCTGGTGGTCAGGTGGAAAATGGGGTGGGTTAGGCAGAGGGAATCTCCCGGCCAGGGCTGGAGCTGATCGGCCTACCTCAAAGGGGTGTTGGCGGGGCCAGGGTTCATGAGGGGAGATTGAACCTGTCAACTCTGCCTCCTCATGTGAGGAGACCTGTGGCTGCTCAGAAACACCAAAAGGCCGCCACTCTTCCCATAGGCGCAGAAGGGAGACTCCCGTTGCTGCAACAACTGTCAGGTGTGGCAGAGGGGAAACTCCTGAGCAAGGCCAGATAACTACTCAACCTTTGTGTGTGGCCCTGCAAAGCTGCTGGTGTGTCTGTTGGCCTTGTGAGCAGGAAAGCAAATCCAGTCATTTAGCCCCCAGACTGCTGCTGTTGCTGCAGCCACATACTCTGCCCCAGGCTCTGCCCTCAGCCCCCAACCCCGCTGGGCTGCCCTGAGAGCAAGGCCAGGACCCGCTTAGCATTCGTCCTGCTCCCCTCCTCCCCAGTGGTGAAGCCGGAACTGCTGCAGAAAGCCACAGTGGAGCTGCTGGATCAGGCTCTGTGCAGCAACCTGTACGGCAGCAGCGTGCTCACCGACCGGATGATGTGTGCCGGCTATCTGGAGGGCAAGATCGACTCTTGCCAGGTAGGGGGCCCCGGCCATCAGCAGGCTTTGGGTGGACCTTCCTGCTTGATGTCCACCCCATCTTGGCCATTTCCTTCCGCAGGGGGACTCCGGGGGCCCGCTGGTCTGCCAAGAGCCCTCCGGGCGCTTCTTCCTCGCGGGCATAGTCAGCTGGGGCATCGGCTGTGCGGAGGCCAGGCGCCCAGGCGTTTACACCCGTGTGATCCGGCTCCGGGACTGGATCCTCGAGACCACGGCTGCATCCAGGGGCCCCACCACCTCAACCATCCCGCTGGGCCCTGGGCTTCCTCATCCAGACCCAACCCTGGGCGCAAGCGCAGCCGGCCTGCAGCACCCCAGCTCCACCCCCAGCTCTGCCTCCCTGGCCCCAAGCAGGCCGGCAGCCCCAGGCCCCCAACCCTCAGGTAGGGCTTTGGCATGCAGCCGGCAGGGAGAGAGAGAGAGAGAGGAGGCGTGTTGGCCTCCTCCTGCGCCCACCACAGCCGTTCCCTGTTCATGTGCAGAGTGCGGTCGGCGGCCTGGTTTCTCCAAGCCCACGAAAATTGTGGGTGGCCTGGAAGCGTCCCGTGGGGAGGTCCCTTGGCAAGTCTCCCTGAAGGAGGGTCTCCAGCATTTCTGTGGAGCTGCCATCATTGGGGAGCGATGGCTGCTTTCAGCTGCACATTGTTTCAACAAGTATGTGTCGGTCAGTGTGTGTGTGGGGGGGGGCTGGGCTCTCTTCCGGAAGGCTCATCTCTGGGCTTCTCCAGGGAGGGGGAGTAATTTAGTAGCTGCTCTTGTGGGGGGGGGGACTGTTCAGCAGGAAGGGGCGAGGAATCCCAGAAGGACTGATGCCCCATTGGGGCTGAGGCACCCCAGGAAGTCGCCTGCCATTATGTGTCATGTCTGCCTCCCCACAAGGGGAGGGATCCTGCATCCAGCTTCAACCTGGGGGGGGGGTCCAGGGTGCAGGGAAGGTGCGAAGGGCCTGCTCTGCCTCTGGGCAAACAGGGCACCGTTCCTGTTCCTGTATTGGCAGCATCAAGGTGGGACACCTCACTGCCTTTGCGGGCACCACCTCACTCTCAGCCATGGACAGCTCTTCTGTGAAGGTCGGCATCCAACAGGTGGTGCTCCACCCTTCTTACAATCCCACCCTGCTGGACTTTGACATAGCAGTGCTGGAACTGGCCAGGCCGCTGCGCTTTGGCAAATACATCCAGCCCATCTGCCTCCCGCTGGCCATCCACAAGTTCCCCGTGGGCAGAAAGTGCCTGGTCTCGGGCTGGGGCAGCCTCCAGGATGGCAACGGTAGGAACAGCTTCCTCAGAGCAGACAGGGAAATCGGGCATCAGGTGGTGATCTTGAGGCTAGAAGACTGCCCCCCCCTTGTGTACTGAACCCCCTCAGGCAAGAGTAGTCCGTCTATGGACATGTGCCATACTGGGCGAGAGTGCCCAGGGCCTGGGGTGGTTAGAAATGGGGCCCAGGGCTTTGGGCTGGTCCATGCGGGGTCTCCTCCTCCCCCTCCTTTTCGGCCTCCAGCTTCTCAGCCCGAGAACCTGCACCGAGCCGCAGTTGGGATCCTTGAGCAGACGACCTGCGAGGGACTGTACAACGTCTCCCTCTCGGACCAGATGATCTGCGCAGGGTTCCTGGAGGGGCAGGTGGACGCCTGCCAGGTACCAGGAGCACCCCTTCCCCAGCCTGGCCCTTTCAGGGTGGAGCTCCCCCCCCTCTCCCACACAGACCACCAAAGGACGGGGCGTAAAAGCTGAAGGTGTATTTTGGAAAGATATCCATTGTTGGACAGTGTTTGAGTTCCGTTCCATTTTCAGTAGCGGGAGTCTAAAGGATACACCACTGCGGGATCCTTGGTGCTCTCTGAGCCTGGTGCTTTCCTTGCAGACATTTCATGGCCCAACTAGGTCTCATAAAAGGGAGCAGGGTGTCTAGAGCTGCAGGTGTTCCCTAGTTGGATCATGAAAACGCCTGCACGAAAAACCACCAAGCTCAGAAAGCACCAAGGACCTGTAATTCAACCCTCTTCTGCTGCGTTGTATGGACCCTCGCAGCGGCGTCTCCTGGGCCTGACCCCACCCCACCACCCCTGCCCTGCTGCTGCTGCAGGCTACTGCCAGTTTCCCTGGACTGCTCCCCTTCCTTCCCCATGCAGGCCAAAGGCCCCACGGTGTCCTGCGAAGGCTCCTCTCTTATCCCTCTCCGAGTAGGTGGGAGACAGAGAGGGCCCCCCCCCCCGGTGACTGTGGCTTCTTCGTGCCGCTACTACTGGAGAAGCTCACCGGTTGCGCCAGGCCAGATGCCAGGGCAGTGAGGGGAGCCTTCTCCACACCCCACCCTCTCTGGGCTCCTGCTCCTGGCATTCGCTTTTTGCCTATGCCGTCTGCCCCCCTTTCCTTCCCAGGGAACCCCTCAGCCTTCAGGTCTGCTTCCTTTTCCCATTTGCCCATTTTTTGCCAAGCCGGGAATTTGCTGATAGTTCTCCAGATGACCGTTGGGGGGAGGGAGGTTAAGGGGCACCTGTGGCCTCCCCACTGAGCATTTGGGCAGTTTCACTCCCAGTTCAAGAACTCTTCTGGCCTCCTCCGTTTACGGAGGGAGGAACTGCCTCGGCCATAACCGGAGGGGCATCCAAGGATCTGCATTAAGCCACTGGCACTTGCCAAGAGGTGCTTCCTCCTGCTTTTTTTCCAGGGGGACTCGGGGGGACCACTGGCGTGCGAGGAGACCCCTGGAACCTTCTACCTGGCTGGGCTTGTAAGCTGGGGTGCTAGCTGTGGGCAGGCCAAGAAGCCGGGGGTCTACGCCCGGATCACCAAGCTCAAGAACTGGATCCTAGGCATCATTTCACCCCGTCTCAGCACCGCAGGGCCCCTCAGACCCGGGACCACCTCTGCCTCCACCGCCTCTGGCCTGGAGCAAAGGCCTACACGGCTTGGCCCAAGCGCTGGCCCTACCATCTTGACCACACCCGGGCTGGCAGTCAGTGCCCCCAAGGCCACCCAGCCGCCAGGTACAGGGCAGAAAGGGTCAGTCTGCAAGCTGGCAGGGTGTGCAAGCCAGCGTGGCAGAGCGGGCCCAGAAAAAGTTCTCTTTCCTCTCCTCTGCCACAATCGCTTGTGACGGGAGGCCTGCCAGGAAATGCCCGTTTAAGCAGCCGTGGAAGAGAATTCTGGCTCCCTTTGGGGAGAGAAGCCAGGCCTCAGCTGGACTCACCCTCTTTCCCTCCCCCCCCCCAGCCGTGCCATGCACCCCGTCCACATTCAAGTGCTCCAGCAAGGTCTGCATCGGGAAAGCAAACCCCGAGTGTGACGGCACCGTTGACTGCAGTAACGGATGGGATGAGACCAGCTGCAGTGCGTACCTCCCTCCCCTGCTCCGGCCCTGCTCTCTCCGCGCCCCCCCCTTCCCCCAGGGGCAGCAGTTAATCCAGCCTGACCTGAGGCTGCGGTGAAGGGGGTATTTGAAAATGGGAGGGACATGAAGATGCCTGAGGAGGGGGGGGTCTCCCAGTAGAGTGGTGGGAAGAGGCCCCTGTCTGATGGAGAGACTGCCTGCCACTTCCCCTGGGACCTCCGCCTTGTCCCCATCATCTCCAAGAATGGCTTGGGCCCAGCGGCACCCGAGGGCAGGGGGGGGACCCGTGGCAACACATGGGGTGCAGAGGAGGAGGCAGGCCTTGGGTCAGAGCTGCTCTGAGAGTGCTTTGGTTGCAGCCATCAGTGGCCGGAGACATGGCACGTGGCTGGGGCTGCCCGTGGCAGCCATTCCAGCAGACAGGGAGGGAGGATTTGCTGGGCTGCCCTACCCACCCTTCAGCCCCTGCTTTGGCCTTTTCTAGACTGCGGCTTGGCCCCCGCTGCAGCCTTCAGCAAGATCGTGGGGGGCAGCAGCGCAGCGCAGGGCGAGTGGCCGTGGCAGGCGAGCCTGTGGTTGCGGCGAAGGCAGCACTCGTGCGGAGCTGTGGTGATCGCCGAGCGGTGGCTGCTCTCTGCTGCCCACTGCTTCGACATGTGAGTGGGGGGAGACTGGAGGAGGGACCAGACCCCTCCGAGCCTGCCCCTTCTGTCCCCAATTCCTCCCCCCCCCCAGAGCCCCACAGCAGAAAGTTGCCCTGGCCAGGCCAGGCATCTTGGCTGCCCTGGCCAGGCCAGAGCACGGGTGCTGGGTTGGGGGTTCTCCTGAGGAGGCCTCCCGAAGGTTGACAGGCTTGCCTCTTGCAGCTACAGCAACCCCAAGATGTGGGTGGCTGTCCTGGGGACGCCCTTCCTGAGTGGCCTCGATGGGCGAGCAGAAAAGATCGCTCGGATCCACAAGCACCCCTTCTACAACGGCTACATGCTGGACTACGACGTGGCTCTGCTGGAGCTGGCGGCCCCCCTGCGCTACACCAGCGCCGTCCGGCCCATCTGCCTCCCAGACCGCACCCACGTCTTCAGCGAGGGCAGGCCCTGCGTCATCACCGGCTGGGGCTCCACCAGAGAGGGGGGTACGCACGTTCCCGCCGATCTGTCCCCGTGAGGCACAGCTCAGTCTGAGGCCACGGGACTACCCGACTGGGGTCTTCTGGGGATGACCGATGCCTTGCACAGGATTCTTCAGCTCAGGGTGAAAATGTGACGGGGGTTGGGGGGGGGATCTTGCTACCCGCAGGCTTCGTGACCACACGTCTGCAAAAGGCTGATGTTCAGGTGATCCCGGAGCAGGACTGCCGGAGCTTCTACCCCGTCCAGATCAGCAGCCGGATGCTCTGTGCTGGCTTCCCACAGGGGGACGTCGACAGCTGCTCGGTGAGCCCACACAGGGTCCCCACCACAGGGGTGAAGGGCGAGTTTGGGCCTGGCCTGGGAGGTGGGAGCAGCAGCAGCGCCCCTACGGCTGCCAGGAATGGCCATGAGCCCACTGCTCTGCAGGGGATGGGGGAGACAAGCCCTCTAAGTCCCCCACCCCTCGCTCTGGGCTGCAGAGCCGTCACGCTTCCCTCTTGCTCCGCAGGGAGATGCAGGTGGCCCCTTGGCCTGCAGAGAGCCGTCTGGCCGCTGGTTCCTGGCAGGCATCACCAGCTGGGGCTACGGCTGCGCCCGGCCTTCCTTCCCTGGGGTCTATGCCAAGGTGACAGCAGTCCGAGGCTGGATTGCACAGAACCTCAAGGCGTAACCCCCTACCCACTGGGGCTAGCAGGGGAGCCCACGAGGACTGACCCCTCATGGTCCCGATCCTGCCAGAGCCCTTTCCCGAAAAGGAGGATTCTACCAGACAGGACTCTGTTCCAGCTGCCGGTACATTAAATGAAAATAACCCACTTGTGACTTTCCATGAGGTTTCCCTGGGCCTGCTGGGAGGGAGTGTTTTTTTCCTGGCACCCCCAGCCCCCACGGCTTGCCAGGAGAAGCCCCTGCAATGCTCACACAAGCCTGGGGAGCGGGATGGCTTCCCTCCTTCCTCCATGCCAAGAAAGTGCTGCAGCTTCAGACAACAGAAACGCGGAAGAAACTGAGGTCCAAGGAAAGGTAACCAGGTCGATCTTCCCTGCATCGGCCCATCTACCGCTTCCTCTCTCCAACCCCCAAATGGCAGGATGTGCACAGGGTGTGCTCAAGAAGGATCAACACACTCCCACCGTTCACACAACCTGAACTAATAGTCCATGTTCTTTCTCGGCCTTGGGGACAATCAATGGACCGCCCGCCACCCGTTCTAGCCGAGCCCAGCCTCACCTGCCTCGCTTTATCCGAGGGCAGATGCCGGCACTCTAGGGACCCCCAGGTCTCTCCCAGGTCTCTGGCCAGCGGAACAAGGCCCAGGGACCACGTCCCTCTCAGCCCAGAGAGTCGGGCTTGAAGCCTCCATGCACTCCCACAAAGCAGACGGGCAGCCTGCACTCCTTCAAGGCCTCCCCAAAAGCAGGGATCCAGAAGATCAGCAGCCTAAATCCAAGCTGAGAAGGGGAGGGCGGCCTTTGGCTGTGAGAAAAGCCCAGCAGCAGAGACGGGACAGGGCAGGCCTTGCTTCTGCCAGCCTCAGGGGGGGGA